CCCCCCCCCCCCCCCCCCCATTTGAAAAGCATGCTGCAGCCACTTGCACACTGGGATAGCTACCACAATGCACTGCTCTTTGTGGCATTGCAAGAGCTGCTAATGTGGCCACGCCAGGGTGCTTGCAGCTGATAGTGTAAATACACATCAGCGTTTTCCCCGCTGCGGTCTCCGAAGGCTGGTTTAACTCCCAGCTCTCTACATCTGTAAGTGTACCCAAGCCCATAGTTACACACACAAACAGCAACACTTGTTTCAATAGAACTCCTCCCATGAGTAATGTTATTCATCTGCACATATTTAAAGGATCAAAACCATAAAGAGTATATACACATTTTTTAACTTTAATCGCTTACTATTGGTGTACAACCCACTGCATACTAAGCTTCAGTCTAGGCTACCATCTCTTCTTCATCCCAAGAAGTTTGGAAATAGTTTCAAGAGTTAGGACTAAAAGGTTAACTACTTTTATGTCAGTCCTGTTACATCCTCCATTCTACTCCCAGAAGTAGCCCCACTGAATTTACTCTGACTGGTGGCCACCTACCTGAGCCAGTCACAGCATGATTTGGCCCCAAGTTAACAAATATAACTATCACAGTGAGTTATATTTTGACAGTGCTTTAAGAGAGAGGACTTTCAAGTGTCAAGAGAAAACAGTTTAATTTAGAAAAAAATTTATTTTTCTGGATATTCAGTAAATGTTTAAATGTTCTGGAATACAAGTGGGTAGACTGATGTACATTACCTCTTTCTGAAAGTTGAGCCCAGCAGCTCTGCTCTGCCAGTTAGAGTTGCAACATAAAAGAATTTCAATTCAATCCTCATCAACTAATTAAAAAAAATTACAAGTGTAGAAAAGTGACATTATGCACCAAAATAAACTTGATATCAGCATTTATATCCTAACAGACCCAGAATAATAAATTCCCCTGAGAAGATGGACATTGCAGATTAGAGCTATAAATATCATCTCTGAAATTAAAATCTAATTGTTAAAACTATTTTAAAGTTTAACAAACTAAAACAAGCACACAAAACATTACTGTAAGAAGTGTACTTTAAACACAAAGCCTTTTAGCTGGTTGGTGAATATTTCAACTTAAATTCAAAGTTTTCTGAAAAGAGGATTCAGAAGTATGTATCCCAGAATACACGTGGAACCACTGCAAAAGCTTTAACATTGGCATATTGGTCAATTCCCTTTTAACTGGTTTTTTAAAGAATTCCTGATATGCATTCCCTGAGATCCTTTTGCATCTACATGTTTGCTCTGTCTAGCTTTTTCTCCACCCCTTGCCCAACAGTAATTTAAGATTATGAAAAAGGATTTAGTTATGGCCACACAAGATCAGGGGGTTCTGGTTTTTAAGTCTTTGGATTGAATAGTAGCAGAGATCAAAAAACCCTGAAAGGCTAATATTGAAATGTTACACAAGAATAGCTGGACCTACTCTCTTGACCCCAAATATGCATTTTGAGGCTTGGACCTCTTCCAATAATAGAGTATGTGGTATGGAAATTTGTAGGGAAAAAAGTAGTTAGGTGAGGCTCAATTGAACGAACATCTCATATATACCCCAAGTGGAGTTTCTGATGCTCATACCAGGCGATGAATAAGGTGCAACACACTAGTAAATCATCACTACATACTTAATATTTTATCTGCATGACAGCCTTATCGGTGTGAAGCTGTCATACCATACACAAGATAGCATTTTAATTTTTGTGTTGATTCAAAGCTTTCTTTCTCAAATATTCTTCCAAGCACTGAATTGCAAAGGGGTCAACATCAGTATCAAACTTGTTGGCAAATAGGTGGTGTTTCTGTAACATCCAGTTCAAGTCTCCCACACCAAACACACACACAGAGCGCACATGAATTCCATTGCACGGAGGATAGGGGGCACCTTTTGAAACATCCCCTTCAAAATAATGCCACTTCACAAACCTGGCAAGAGCATTCATGTCAGAAACATCATACTTGTCACTAGAAGAAACTGCCCCTGGGACTTCAGGGATTCTTTGAATAGTAGCCCACAAGTATTCATCAGGGCTATAAGTGTCTTTAGCCCATTCAATAAATTCAAGGATTTTGCTGTTGTCTAGCACATACTCTACAAAACTCCTACTAGCAACAAAATAGGCACTGCCAGAGAAAACAGGTGTACTAAGAGGTGGAGGTTGTTTGTCTATTCCCATGTTCTTTAGCTTACCATCAACAATTTCATAGTGTTTTTTCCATCGTATTTCTTTGCTGGAAGGCATTTTCTCAGTTTCTAAGCTGTTTTCACCCTTTAGGGCTTTCAATTTCTCCACCATTTCCTGGTTGGTCTTAATAGGAAAGTCCATACCACAAAGATTTATCAAATATTTCCAGTTTGTACTTCTCCTGTAGAGATCTTTCATGCAGTTGAGGTCTGCCTGTACCCTGCTCCACGAAGCATACACTACACTCTCCAATTGGCTGGCAATAAAGACATTATTGAAACAGGACACAATTCCCTTAACTGCTGCCAGAAAAGATTCTGGAGACTTTTTGTCAACATGAATGCAGTAATAATTCTGAGGAGCATAGATTGATCTTAGAAGTCTATCAAGCATGTCTATTTTGTGATATACCACTATTGAATAGGCAATTGGAAATCCAGCTTCTTCTTTACTGAGAGGTTCCATAATATATTTCCGCATCTTGGTAAAAGAGGCACAATCTGTTGTCATATTAATGTAATCACTTGCTGTTAGCTTAGGGCGTTTCTTAAATGTCACAGTTAACATCTCAAGCTTTACTTTTTGAATTTCCTCTATATCACCCTGCAGTATCTTAGAGCAGTTAATATTAGTGGTAGGATCTTCACCAGTCAGCTCTAGATGTCTGTGATTCAAGAAGTCCGGCTTTTGGTTATTTTTTAGAACCGAAAAGGCCACTAAAGTCAGAAGTAGCACAAGGAGGTGCCTGTAGCGTAAAATATGACAAAAACAAAATTTTCTTCTCAGCATTTCAGACATCAGATACCTTCACTTGGCTAAACAAAGCTTCTTTGTACTCATGATCTCAAACCCACTTCAACAGCTTCAGAGTCATCTGTTCTCATTTCTCAAAAGTGTGCGTATATGCACTGGACACTGGAGGAAAAGCCCTAAAACAAAAATAAAATATAAGTCATTTCTAATAAGTACAGTTATTCTGCAATTCAATTCTACATTTTACCCGTGGCTTTTAAAAGTCTTTGCTTTAATGGTGAATGGTTTAGTTAAAAGTTTCCTGAAATTTAGAAAATGTAATGAATAGGGTGGTCAAAGTTTAGACTTTTGAAAGTTTAGATATAGTTTGAGTTTTCATGGAACTGTTTTCCCATTTTATGACCAGCTCTAGTATTGAAGCTTCAATTCAAATGTTAATTTTCCCCTCATACCATCTTTTCTATTGCATTATTGGATGAAGTGTGTTAATTCTGGTATGGCTGGTCTAAGATAGATTACTTAGATCCACTGAATCCCTTTTAAAAATGTTGGCATTTTAAAATGCAATAGGAAGAAAATTGTTTTGTCCCCTAGACAGAACTGGTTCACCCATATTGGTTCGCTAAATTATTTCATCTAATTGGGGTTTTGTGCAATACAGAGAATGAAGTGTTAGTAGCTTAAGTACGTATAGTAAATATTCCAACCTGAATTTAACAGGGACATTTTACACACACTCCAAAGATTTGTTGGCATTTCAATTTACAACTCATTTACTGGGGAAACTATTCACACTTCATCCTCTCATTTGAAATGCAGCCCACATGCACATTCAGCATTTTATTCTTGTGATACAGACCCTTAAACATACTGAAGAATGAGTAGTGATGTGACCCTAGAGCTTCTTTCAGGAAAGATCTGAAAAAGAGAAGGGGAAAAAAATAATGTAGTGTTACATAGTCATCTAGCTTTCAGAGAGTTCCTGAAGACAGCTCTCTAGTTGACATGGTATTGCTATTTTTGTGGTCTATTTTTAAACAGGTATTTAAACTGCACTTTTGAAACTGTTTTTCATATCACTCTATGCATAAGACAGCTTACTTAGTTGTTAGAGAGCTGGCTACTAGATAAGCATGGACTACAGAGTGTTGAGAGAAGTATAATGTTGTCAGAAATATAGGAATAGCCCTAATTTCAACTACATGGATTTCATATGAAATATCCAATACGCTAAGAAGGAAATAAGTGAAAATCTGAGTTTGTTATAAATTCAAAGCACTATGGTATATATCTGTGTATTCACCTGTAATGTACAGTACATATTTTATGTCTATTAGCTCTTAATTAAAATATCTTAACCCGTACCCATGTGAACATTCTCCATTATGTATTTTTATAGAAAATTTGACTGAAGAGTCTTGTATATAGATGGACAGAATCTGGAGACATCTGCAGATGTATAACTGCCCAGAAGAGTTTGCCAAGAATCTCTGGAATCTGGGGGCTGGTCTACACTGGGGGGGTGGGTGGGGGGAAATGATCCAAGATACGCAACTTCAGCTACGTGAATAGCGTAGCTGAAGTCGAAGTATCTTGGATCGAATTACCTGGAGTCCAGACGGCGCGGGATCAATGGCCGTGGCTCCCCCATCGACTGCGCTACCGCCGCTCGCTCTGGTGGAGTTCCGGAGTCGACGGTGAGCACGTTCGGGGATCGATATATCGCGTCTTAACGAGACGCGATACATCGATCCCGGATAAATCGATTGCTACCTGCCGATACGACGGGTAGTGAAGACGTACCCTTTATCAACTAAACAGGTAATAGTTTAAGAGTGGCACTTTATTTGTATTCACAAATATGCTTGCAAAAAATTAAAAGTTACATTTGGTCAAAAACTTTGTTTTTCCTTTTCTTTCTTCTCTCTACCTCCCCTTCCAGGCTTACATGTAAACAATATTGAGACAGCATGAAAGGGAAAAATAATGCAAACTCAATAAATAAGACAGTGGAGGCTATAAACAATTATGTTGCATCTAACATGCTAAATAGCCACTTCTACTTTTAAATACATCATTTAATTAACTCTAAAGAACATTCAGGTTTTAGCTTCATGTACTTTATTTCAGGGGCTCTCAAACTTTCATTCAGGTGCGGGGGGGGGAGGGGATTGCAAAGCCAAAGGGTCAGGGGAGTGTAGTCTGAGCCCCACCACCCAGGGTGGACGACCTTGGTCTTTGGCCCTGGACAGTGGGACATGGGCTTCAGCTTCAGCCCTGGGCGGTGGGGCTTGGACTTTGGCCCCAGGTTGCAGCAAGTCTAACACCAGCCCTGGTGACCCCATTAAAATGGGGTCGTGATCCACTTTGGGGTCCCAACCCACAGTTTGAGAACCACTGCTTTATTTAATAGGAAGCAAAATGCTCAATGTATATGGAGGGATGGTGATGGGAGTCCATAATTTTCAGTGAGAACACGTGCCAATATTTCAATCTGGAAACTAAAGCATTAAAACTTTTTACTAACTACTATTCGAGAGCACTCTGGAAGACCTTCTAACAATTTGTTTTTGAATTTTAAACAGAAAAATGATCAAGGCTTGAGATTTCCATAACCCAAGAACTTCATTAAGCCTGTTTTTCTGTAACCTGCTCAGTACGAATTTTTAATAATAGGATTCTCAAACTGTGGCTTCTAAGCTTACTTGGTGATGCCTGTCAGTCTTCATTTGGGGATGCTTACTAGTTGCAGCCCAGATCATGATTCTCAGAAGCAGTCTTGACCCCCGCGTTCCTCCCCCCCCCCAGTGATGTATTCTAGGTAGTTTCTTCAATGTATAGTCAAAAATGTTTAAATTAGCAGCACGTGACAACAAAACTAGAGAGTTAGCAAATCTACAGGACAGCAGACTCACGCTGCAAAGTGACATTGAAGAGATTAAAGTAGTGGTAGCTCCAGGCAGCAAGAGAAGTTTCATTCTGCATCAAGGGAGAGGAAATAGATAGCAGTCAGGTAGAGTGCTGGAGCAGAGGGAATAACCAAGTAAAGTTTGCTCTTATTAGGCCACTTGTACGTAGCCAAAAAACAAAATGTTTGAGGGACCAATGCTACTCTCCATGCTGACTACTAGGATTCCATCATCCTCCAAACTAAATGAATTGCACAACAATTCATTAGTCCCACTGCATTTGCAGTTGAGTGTTTATATAAAATTTTATAGGAAATAAGTGCTCTGGGTCAGATTTTCCTTCATGGTAGTAGAACGACATGGAATTGGACTAGAAATCGCTCACTCCAACTACATGTACACACTTATACTGTGTCCTCTGAATTTAAACAGCAGTAGTTTCATACTCTTATTTAAATAACTCATCTGACACACATCCGTGCCTCCTCAGATGTGCAACCATCTATATAACAGTTAAAATAGTTTTCTGCAAACTCAAATTAGCTATGAACTCTCTATTCTGCAGTAGGGAAATTAAACAAGATGGTGACTCTTTGGTTCAGTTTCCATCTAGTGTCTACAGTAGCTGTTCATAAAGCAAAGAGCTGGCTTTATAAACAGACAAAAATAAAGTCTACAGCTCTTCGTTACACTGGTGGTGTGACACAGCTGTTCCACTCATCCACAAGGGTCTCCACACTTGTACATAGTTGTGTAGAGTAGGATTACAAAGGAGATTTCCCATCTTCCTAAAGAGGGTGGGAGGAGGGAAGGTGAAGGGAAGCAGTAGGTTTAACCCACAGAACTGCTATCAATCACTCCCATAACATTAAAGCCCTTTACATCAGTTTCTTAGGGCAGGTCTACACTTCAAACGCTGCAGCAGTGCAGCTACACTGATGTAAAAAGCAATAGAGGGTCCTGTGGCACCTTTAAGACTGACAGAAGTATTGGGAGCATAAGCTTTCGTGGGTAAGAACCTTACTTTGAAGTGAGGTTCTTACCCACGAAAGCTTATGCTCCCAATACTTCTGTTAGTCTTAAAGGTGCCACAGGACCCTCTAAAAAAACAACAAGGAGTCTGGTGGCACCTTAAAGACTAACAGATTTATTTGGGCATAAT